AGCATTTGGGATTGCAGTGGAGGTGGACATAGGTGACCTTGGCTTCCCTTTAGCCAAGAGGCAAGAGTCAGGCATGCCCTCCGTGCTTCATCCTTGTTGCCTATTCTGATGCCACAGTTCCTCCTTTGCCACTCTCTATCTGTGCTGGGTTTGATAATTCATTGCAGGACCACACCGAACTCAACAGACGACACAATTAAAGGGATTTATTTGGGAAGACATTAGGTTAGAACAAATCAGGGTCAGCAAACAGTAAAGATATGGTCAGTGGTCTCTCAGATAGCAGCCAAATGCCTCTCAGCTTCTCAGTCATTTATTTGGTAGACAAGTTTCTCTCCAGACATAAGTCTCTCAGCTATGTGGCCCCTTGTCCTTAGCCTCAATGGACCAGGAAACCAGCCTGCCTGTCACTGCCCCATACTTCCATAGTCTTGAGCCAACTGAGAAGATACCCCTTAGTCTTCGCATGGCTTCTCTGAGTCCTTGTGCTGGCCTGTCTGGGATGCATCTGATCTTGGTGGCCACCCCCACTTTAGAAAGATCTTGAATTTGCTATTCCAAGGTCCTCAGGGTTTTTGTCTTTGTGGCTGCTTTAAAGAGTGGCTAATACTTTAAGTCAGGGGGGTTGGTAATGAAAACTGCCCAGTCATAGTGTTATATACACCCTATTGGCAGAGTCCCACCCAGTCATTTGGTGGGAGTTACAGAGAGACTTGGGTAGAAGAGTCATTTTTTACTCCACCACAGGGATGGATTTTACAATTTTATATGTAACATCCATTAAGAATGGACTTTACTGGGGATAAGTGAAAAGTTACTAGGCCAAAGGCCACAAGAAAAAAAGAGACCAAGCTATCCCAAGGATAATTTGTCATCCTAAAGAAAAATTTGATGGCATTTAGGCAATCTACTACACATGCCCTATGTGTCTGTTTGAAGGGAGAACCCCACCCTTTCCCTGTTCTTTTTATAGGACAAGTGTGAAAACAACCTAACAATCATGTTTGCCCTGGATGCTCTAGATTTGGCTGCCATCTGCTTATAGACTAGAGTGTCAGAAAATCAGCTACTTAGCAGTTGAAGATGTTGAACCTGGAAAACTTACAGTTCCTTAGCAAATGGGACTATTCATTTCCTATTCATTAACCACAATTTATTGGCTTAAAAATACCTCCAATTTATTTTACAGTTCTGGAAGTTAGACGTCTGAAATGAGTCTCACTAAAATCTAGTGATGACAGGGCTTTTTTTTTTTTTTTAATATACTCTAGGAGAGAATATACTCCTTGAGTTTTCCACTTGCTGTACAAGTTGCCTACATTTGTATGGCTCATAGTAACCTACATTCTTTCAGCTTTAAAACTATCCATATCTGTGTGATAGGGTTTTCACATCAAATCATTCTCTCTCGAGTTTCCTGTACCAGGTGGGTCGGGGGCGCGCCGGGGGGAAGGCCCGGGGCGACGGGCCCTCGCCTGACCGCCGCCCCTCCCCAGGCCGCCCACTGCGTGCTCCCGCAGGACCCTGAGAACCAGGCGCTGGCGCGCTTCTACTGCCACACGGAGCGGACCATCGCCAAGCGGCTGGTCCTGCGGCGGGACCCCGCGGTGAAAAGGAGCCTGTGCCGCGGCTGCTCGTCCCTCCTGGTCCCGGGCCTGACCTGCACCCAGCGCCAGCGGCGCCGCAAGGGATTGCGCTGGACAGTACAGACCTGCCTAACGTGCCAGCGCAGCCAGAGATTTCTCAATGATCCCAGGCATCTGCTCTGGGGAGACCGGCCTGAAGCCCAGCTGGGGAGCCTGACAG